GCGGCCGGCGAAAGGCCCGGGGCGCGCCCCGCGCGCCGCCCCCAGTTCCCCGGCAGCAGCGGCGGACAACCTCGAACACTAAGCTTCGCTAAAAAATTAAAAAAAAAAAAAAAAAAAAAAAAAAAGAGCATGTGGGATTCGAACCCAGGCTCTTGTAAAACATATAATGCGGCTACGTAATTGGTAACCGTGGCTAGCCAGGCTATTACTTAAAAGTCGGGCAAAAAAAAGATACGTATTTCGTGAAAAAGATGGAAGTGGGGATCTGGAAGAACACGTGAAAATTCCACTCATTTTTGGGGATGCACCCAATAAAAACGCCCCAGAGCTGCGCACGGACGAACTTCCTATTTCGAAAAATGGCCAGGCAAAAAGATCGTCTGACAATATCCCTCGTAAACTCGGGCAAAAAAATTCGACACAATAACCCTTCGTAAACTCAGGGCATATGCATTCCCCTTCGCCATATCATGAGACTCTAACTCTTAGCTAAATCACGAACGATGTATTTCCGCGAATACACAGAAGAAAAGCATCATGTCCACTTTAATGCGACGTTGAAGCTTTACGGAGACGTTACGAGCCGCTTCTCCTCCGACTGTATAATGTAACTCGTTTCCGATATACTAATACGACGAATGTGCTCACCCGGATATCACTACGAGTGAGCGACAATCTGTGTATATGGGCAGTCTCCTGTGATGCAGCTACCGTGAACTAAGCTCTCAGGTTACGATAGCGACGTACCGAACTGTGTCAGTTCACAGATATACAATAGGGCCATTCCGAATCGCGGAAGTCCACCCTAGGAGTGGCCAATATTTCTACTGTCGCACCTCTCTTGACTAGTCCTTTCTAATATATAACAGGATAATATACATGTCGAAGTGTCGTATCAAACTAAAGAAATATGATCACATGGGAACTGTAATCGTATAGTCTGGTTCTGGGATACTCGATCATTATCTATATTTCCAAGCGTGACGCCGTCATTCTTACCCTCTAACCTCCTCAGACTCCTCTATCTGGCTGGCGAGACCTCCTTGGAAAATAGTTTGTGACAGTCTCCTGACCCACGAGAGACTTGAAGTATCAGATACCACTTAGTTATCGAGGGTAGCTATCCGTTGGGATAGCCGTGGTACTTAGGCCTCAATCAAGCATCGCTCAAGATATCAGCAGGGCGAACGAAGCCATGTCATACTACTTGTTATGATATATGAGTGTTTTATTATCCTATGCAAATTGTAACGAGTAACTGACACTTTGCTACATTCGGTTACAGTTGATATAGTATGTCTGACCACTGTTACTAGATACTATTAGGGGAGTGATGATAGGTTTAGATTGAGGTCTTAGATTATATTAACCTGACGTTTTATACGCTTACGTTGAGACTGGTGAACACAGGTGGTAAGGCTGGATTGATTGGTATCAAACATCCCCTTAGCTCGGCAGTAAGATACGCCATAATCTTAGTTGATATTGCTCATTGACGTTGCAGTTTTTAGTTTGCAATGCCAGTTCATAATCAGCGTGAGATCACAAAGGTTGAATATCATTGGGCGATCAAGCCCTGTATGCATAAGCCATCTCATCCCATTCCGCGCATAAGCTGTAGCTGATTGAAGAAATAGTCATCGTATGCCAATTAAAAGGGGTATTCCATTTGATAGGACGTGTCGTTGAGCTAATGTAAGTGACGCGCATTTTGATATCATGAGTTAAACCTCCTGCCTGTGCAAAACATTCCTATTATTGCCCATTGGCATTCCATGCTATATCAGCTTGCTACTGATTATGCCACATGCCTATTATTTAGTATCGGTAGCTGTGAACCATAGATACGGCCGCCAATCTCGATAGAACAAATGCTAGCTGCGCAGATATCTCAGCTTCACCGGACTTTGAAGCAACCCGGCATGATTTCTCAGTTGCACTACATAAGCCCCAATATGTTGTCTCGCATGCGAGATTGATGGCGCTTAGTTTGACCATGTGGCTGGTCGAGAAGCATAACGCGCACCTGTAGAGTGCGGGAGGCTCAGAAAGACTTCGGTATTTAAGATTACCTATAGCTAAAAATACAATTCACCGTAGTTTTATATCGTATCGACACGATCGTGCAGTATGCAGTGGCTTAGTGCCGGGACCCTCTGCTCATATCCTTTCCGTCATGAGTCTTGGCCTGCGATGATTGTACTTCGATGTCAACTATCGCCTACCCCGTTCGACGATTCCTAGTCTATAAGAATAGGAATATTAGCTAATATACAACCCGAGCTGGACAGGCAAGTACCCGGGGTTGAGGTTGAGATTGGAATGGTGTGCTGCAGCACGTGTAAGTCAAGGAACCTGACGCCAACACCCAACGGTGGGAGAGGACCAAGATAAGCGCGCATACAGCGTAGTAGCGAGCAAGAGAAGCTGTCGAACTGATTCCTAAGGTGGAAGGTAGAATATGACAAGTGGACATGTGATGTTGCATATTTATCTGTCGAGTTTAGCGGTATTTTTGCTCATGTCGGTAGACGGGAGATATCAAATGAGTCTACGTCACGGCGCCTAAGTTGTAGGCCAAGCTCGGGACTAATACGGAATAATACCACTTATATCAAGTCCAATATAGAGGCTTGTAGGTTGGATGCAGACCTTACGAGCTTACTCTATTTAGATCTCGAGGATCTAAACATGTTTAGGTAGGATACTAGAGTCCTAGTCCTAGTCCTAGTTGTCAGGGTCCTAGTTGGGCAGTATCGTATTGGGCATCCCGGCCAAGGTCAACAATCCCCCCCAACTTTTTCCCCATCGACAATCCCCCGCGATCTCAGCCAATCCCAGTGCCGGGGCTAGACGACTTACACCTTTAGCTTATGACCGAACTACCCGTCACCCCGGACCCGCCCCCTGACCGCCTCGTGGAGTCGTGTGGGGAAGAGGATTACTTCCGTGTGTGGGGTCAGCGTTACTCTCTTTGTTGGCTTGAACAATGACCAACATCGAAGATATACATGATTTACGGATATAGCTTAGTAGGTACTTGTACGATACGTAGTACGATCACATATTGGGTATACCAAAGAGTCGCAAATAAAAGGCAGGCAAACGGCCGCTGAGGGGAAAAGCTACCTAGGTACCTAACAAAGCTGCAGCAAGGAATGCAAGTAGGATACGCTAATTTTTGGAGAAAGCGCCTTATATGCCGGTACGACGCCGGTACGACCCCGTGATGCGACCAACATAGCCTTATCAACTACAAACCCTGTACGCGCCCAACCTCGAGGAAAGCGCAAGAGACACGCAGGAGACATAATGCAGGTATACATACAATCATGCAATGGAAGTAAGGTTCCTGCATATCATCCACCATGGGGGGAATCTACGCGATTCCCCTTTGTCCCCGGTGGACTTTGTTACATGTACTGGACTGATCAGTCCTTCCATCCGGGGCGGATGAGAGAATGAGAGGTATCTAACATATAATATACGTGCGTTTCATTCTTTTCTTTTTACTCCCGTGTGCATTTTATTATATAGAGGCTTCTTTTTGGCTGCGTAAAGATTCCTTGTCTGTCCTGCGTCTCCTTTAGATCCCCTTAAGACCGCTCATGTCATCTCGAGCACTTCTATACAGATGGCTGCTTCGCTTATAGGAAAGGCGGTTACCACCTTTCTTCTAATCGCACCTAGCTTCGGGCTACCTCACGATTCACCCATAGATAATTACTTGAAGAGCAGAGACAAGTCAAGCCGTAAGGTGGTTCCTTCTGTCATCAACTTGAAGCTGATCTATGACTAGTCGTGCAGCCGATACATCAGTCTTTCCCCCTCGGTGCTATTAAGCCGCGAGGATGGTTCAAAGACCAATTACAATTAGAGGCTCACGGACTTGCCGGTAACTTGTTCGATTTCTACCGCTTCGTCCACGACTCTATGTGGATAGGCGGCTCAACAGAATATTCCGTGCTTAACGAGGCATCTCCATATTGGTTCAACGGCCTCGTACCTCTTGCCTTCGGATTGGACGATCCGAGGCTTAAGGGACAAGTTTACTCCTATATGGATTATGTCCTTGACCACCAGCAGGAGGACGGCTGGCTCGGGCCTGAGACTACTCCCGAATCCCGAGGCTTATGGGCACGCTGCTACTTTCTGTTAGGGTTGATGGTATGTCCTGGCTGGGACGGCCTACTGTTCCAAGTGCCTCTCAGGAGCAGCCCGGCTAATTATCGTAGCAATACGCCCAAGCAGACCCTTCTCAAGAAGATAGAATTGTGGATGCCATGCATCGATACGTCCAAATTGCTCACAGCATGCTAAAAGACGGCTTCAGCGGGCTGATACAGAAGGATGGCCAAGATTTCGACGGGGATGGGTTCGGTGCCATGCGAGCTCACGAGATGCACATCCCGCTGCAATGGCTTTACGAGCAGCATCCTCGAAACAACTCGCAGATAATATGGGAAACCATGGAGCTGATGATCGAAGGAAGCGCCGAAGCCAGTAGCGATTGGAGGACTTTTTGGGTCAAGGGAGTATACCCAGAAGTCACATATACTCCTAGAAACGAACCCTTTAAAGACCTATTCAACCACGGTGTTAATATGGCGGAAGGTATAGCTCAAGTACAATATTAACGTCTGAGTAGAGGCTGACTGATACGATTAGGCCTTCGATACCCATTATCGATATACCGAATGACGCACGACGAAGCATTGAAGACGCAGACTAGAACTGCGGTAGATTTGTTAGCGCAATATCACAAGTCTTTAGCCGGAACGATCATCGGCGATGAATTCATTACAGATCTCAACCCGATAAGAGGGGCAGAACTCTGCACTGCTGCAGAGATGACATTCTCCATGGCGTATATTTACCAGTATCTTGGCGATAACGACTTGGCAGACTGGGCAGAGCAAGTTGCGTTCAATGCTGTGCCCGGATCGATTTTCCCAGATTGGTGGTCACACCAATATGTACAGCAGGAAAATCAGGTGAGTTGACGACCCCGGAGTCTTAGATATAGACTAATTATGGCTCTGTAGCCGTGGTCGCGTACTCTATCGGCGAACCCCGACATGTGGGTAAATGTTGGAGTTCGCGGTAACGTGTTTGGCTTGGAACCCAACTACGTTAGTTTTATTTCCTACTGTTTAAAGCGATAGCTGCTAACCCTTTGATAGCCCTGCTGCACGGTTAATCATCCTCAGGCGTATCCCAAGTTTCTTGCCAATTCTTTTACGCTTACCGATGGAGGAATTGCTCACGTTCTGCTTATCCCTGGAAGCATCAGTACCTCGTTGGGTCGTAATCGAGTAACCATCCAGGCCGACACTAACTATCCCTTCGGCATGGGTATCAAATACTCGATCACGGCAGCATCTGATTTTACGTTCTACGTTCGAATTCCAGGCTGGGCAGACAGATCGAGTACCATCGTGGGACCTTCCGGCAAGTCGAGTCAGATTTCCCCATCGGATAAGGGGCTGCAGAAGATTGAAGTCAGCAAAGGTTTCAGCTTTATCAATGTTAACCTCGAGACGGAGCCGCGCGTAGTCACGAGGCCCAACAATACCGCGGCAATATACTACGGATCGCTGCTCTATAGTCTCCACATCGATGCTAACGTATCGGATGTACCGGTGGTCGCGTTCGGCGGCGACGCGATACCAAGTACGAGCACTACATATCATACGCACGACCATGTTATCGAGCCTACGAGCATATGGAATATTGCTATCGATCCGTCGCAGATAAAGGTGGTGCGAGCGGACGTGTCGACCTTGGCGGACCCGATCTGGGACCTTGGTGCGCCCCCGGTTGAACTTCGCGTGGCCGCTGTTGAGATAGACTGGCCTCTCGAATTCGACACCGCGGCAGATCCTCCTCTCGAGCCGAAGATTACCGGAAAACCTTTCAGCGCGCGCTTCGTGCCGTTCGGAAGCGCCAAGATACATATGGCGCATCTCCCCGTTGTCGAACTGGCCAAGGTAGACTTATCGAGCTGATAGAGACATTTTAGATGGATAGATATAGTTTAGGCGATAACGGTAGAACATAAGAGCTTAGACTAGTAGTTAATAGTCCTGTATACAATGGTATTAACACGGACCGCAGATTTAATTGTGCAACCGCCTTCCTTACATTGCACGGCACCTTGTCAACTTGATTACTCTAGCAAATGTCATATCACGACAGAAGGATCACAAAGTATGGAATATAACGACAAAACAAGTATTTTTAATTTTTTTTTCCCCCACCATCATGACAATGGTGAAAATAGGGGCAAGGGGTAAGGGGTAAGAGGCTAGGGCTTAGCAACTTATTGTCCCCAATACATAGCGGATTAAGAAAACAATTTTTTTTCTTCTTTTTCCATTGCTTAGTTAGATTAGGTACTTCCGTATAACCCTCGAAGGTTGCCAACACTTTCCAAAATCAATCTCTTACGCGTACCTAATCTCTGCCCATATTATCAGTTATTATCAGTATTCGTAGGTCGAGCCACCACCCCAGCCGTGCGATCGATCAGCTTAGGGGATCTTGAATAGCAGCGGGCTCGCGTCCCGTGTATACTGGCGACGCCCGATATCTAGGCGTCGTGGTCACTCTTTGGCGGCTTGCCGGTAGGAAGCTTGTACTTGTGTCCGTCGAGGCTGTCGCCGTCGCGGATGTTGTGGCGGCCGTAGCTCTTGGCCCAATGGTGGATGGCGATGTCGCCGCCCTGGTTCTCGGCGCAGTAGGCGTCGAGCTCGCGCATGGCTTCGATGAGCTCCTCGCGGCAGGTGGGGTTGATGCCGCCGGACGAGCAGGCGCTGACGACAACGTTGCCCCAGAGAAGAGACTTGCAGCTCTCCTTGGGGATCCAGCCCTCGTCGGGTCCCGACTCGATCCAGTCGAGGAACTTGGCGTAGGCGCGCAGGTACTCGGAGCGGCGGATCACGCGGGAGCGGCAGAGGGTCTTGCGCGTGGGGAACTGGGGCACGCATTGGCCGGGGGGGCGGCGCTCGGCGAGGGCGGCGGCGACTACCTCGGTGTTGTTGTTGTTGTTGCCGGTGGTGTTGAGGGCGGTGACGCCGTCCCAGTCGCGCACGGCGTTGCCGAAGTCGAGGCTGCCCTCGACCATGGGGATGGTGTACACTGTTGTTAGGAGAGGGGGTCAGCGTCTAGATTATCTGTCGATTAAGGGGTATTTGGGATCGGCTTACTTCCGTTGGTGAGGTCCATGTATGAGTTGACGGGGTAGGCGGCGTTGGCAGCGCCAAGGACACCGGCGGCACTAAGAAGGACTTGAGTGAACTTCATTGTCGATGATGATGGTGTCGACGAGAGTCGAGAGGTTTGGGTTTGTTGCTTTTTTTGTTTTTTTTTTTTGTTTGTTTGAAGGTAAGACTGTGAAGGTGAAGGTAAGAGTATGAAGGGGAAGAAATGTTTGGCACGAGAAGAAAATGAATCTGCGATGAGAGCAAGGGAAGGGGGACATATATACTCACGATCTGGGTACTCATCATCGATGATACCATCTACATCGCCCAACAGGATCAAAAATCGAAACAACGCAACTAGACCAACGACCGCTATTGTTTCATGGGCTCGGACGAGTTATACTACAAACATACATCTCGGCGTAGAAGAGCCGGTCTCACGATAAAGTCATTACGAATTGGCTTCGCATATTAACATTCAAGTATATTAGGAACTATGGACATATCGTCATATCTGTGCTTAGCCTCGACGGCGGTCGTACGTATCTTACAAAGTGAGTCATCTCATGAGTGCTTTGGCCTCGCGAATAAAACTATTCATAGGCCAGGGGTTCAACTAAACTTTAGTTCCTGATTTCGGGGGTATCGCTGCTCAGCCGGCTTACTTCACCATCGCTCTCCGACGCTTCACTGTCCTCTTTCTCTTCCTCTTCCTCTTCGTCCTCGTACGCGAGCCAGTGATCGAGAAGGTCGATTCGAAACTCGTCCGCCCGGATGCGCTTGTCCTTAAGCTGGTTCTCGAGCCGGATCTGCCGGTGCTTGATATTCGGTCGGACAGCAACGGCACCAGTGTGCGTGACGCGCACGAGATGAGTGGCGCTGGAATCGTATGTACGAACTCTGTTAAATTTTTTCTTCTCCTCTCGAGTGAGGCTATCAATGGCCATGATAGCTCTCCAGTTGGAGTTCAAACTAATACACAACTCCGGACAGTCCTCCCAGAGCAGCTCAGCTAAGTCGTTACCACCAATATTACCCCATCGCCTGATCTCGCTCAAGATGAGGCGGTGGAGCATCAGGAAGATGGGCCCGTGGCCATCCTTTGGGATACCGGTGGTGTTTAGGAGGGCCCTTTCGCACCTGAGACAGTCGCACGAGAAGATTTGGAGATAGGCGTGCACCATCTCGTGCATGAGCTGGCCTATAATGTCATTAAGCTCGTAGATGGTGTCACCACGGCCGGTGTTAAGCAAGATGCGTACGTATCTACCACTCTCGTCTTCCGCGACCGTGGTGGTTTCTCCACGGATATCTGCCTCGAGCTGCAACGGATCCTCACCGACCACGTCAAAGCCAGTCTCGATCGTGACGTAGCGTCCAAGCAGCCCGAAGAAGAAGAAATCGTCAAGCTGTTGGGCCCAGAACTTGACGTCGTTGTCTACGTACTCATACGACTCCCTAGGCCCAAGCTTCCTCCCGTAGAACGGACTCTGTAACACATACTTGGCGCAGAAGTTCTCGCGCGCTGCGGTCTGGCGCGGGTTTAATTCAAAATCCTGTCGGTTGTAGAAGGCCCTGATAGTAGCGTTTAGAATTTCGCGAGGCCTGTATGCGCGTCTGTGGAGCGTGATGCGGTAGTAAGGATCGAAAGGGGCATAGTTAGGATAATTGAAGTGATACACATTCCTACCGTGTCCGTCCCTGAAGGGCTCGATGGGGATTCCGCCTCGGGTAATAGTAGACATGGTTGGTGCTCTGTTGAAGGGAAATCAAATAATCACTTGATAGACCTAAATAGAGATTCCTGATGGATTACGAGTATGATTATCCGCAGCTTGGATGCTGGAGTCTACAGTTACTGATCAGGAGCATACATAAATAGCTTCTCGATCGCACAGAACAGTTATTCTGTCGTATAACAATAACTACACTACACTGCAGTTGTCGGTTTATTGTGTAAGTCCGGCTGTGTACAGTTGCTTTGAGCAGCTAGTAAATCCCAGCACAGCTTAGCTGTTATGTATCATAATTACTGATACGCATCGGGCTTAAAGAAATTGTTTCTGGCGGTGAGGCCAACGCTGATACCCCTCAAATGCGAACGAAACCACCTAATTCGAGCGTATGCGTATGGTGGCTTCAGCCTTGACAACGGGGCAATAATTTCCCTGTCTTCTGAATGCGGCGCTTGGAGGGGGTGACTCAACATATATTAGCAGAGGCCAAAGCGATCGCAACAACTATTTTGGCCTCTAACGTTCTGCCGCTATGGCCGCTATGGTAAGCCGAAATCCTCGTCATTAGTACCTAACTTCTATTTTTGATTACGAAAACTCCGCTGGTGGAATCGCCCCTTAACCAATTCTCACAATATACCCTTAGCCTCCTGAACGCCTAACTACCGAACACATGTCTTGTGACTAGATAGGCGGCCCCTCGCGGCTTTTTGGTCTGGCCTCTTTCTTGCTCAAGAAACTCCTTCGCAGACCACCATTCCCGCTTCTCGAACTTGGACTCGGGCTGTTGTTTTCTATACTGGACTCCGCAAAGGTGCTCTTCAAGACCACTGCTCCGGTACCGACCTTGATCTCCTTTTCGCCGCTGCCGCTTTCGTCCACGAAATATAACGCTTCGCCCAAGTCGTCATCGCTCCCAAAGGTGTGGTGGTTTTTGACCTCGATACGGAACTGGGCATCGGCGGTACACGTGTGCTTGAATGTCTCGTCGAACCGTACCGTCCCCGGAGCTTCGTGATGCTTCGTCTTGCCGATAGTCCTCTCCTTGGGAGTGAGCTGTTTGATCAGGACGTAAATGTCTGCCGACTCTGGGAACCCTGATGCGGAGACCACAGTGAAAGTAGCGGTACCAGCGCCGGCGGTACCCGGGGCCAGACTGTAGATAGAGACGCCGCCCATGCTAGAATTACGCCCGTGCGTCTTCGAGCCGTCGTTGGGCGTCACAGGACGGGCGGCGTCGCCATCGACACTCAAGCCCGTGGCCCGCCTGAGACCGGAGCCAGCTGCGGGAGCATCTGGTCCATTCGTCACGATCGTGGGAATCTCGGAGTTGCTTGGTATCAAGACTAAGCCGTTACCTTCCTCGTCCTTCTTGCCTCGAAAGCCGCGCTTGATAAAACTCGCACCCTTACCAACGCCGTGGCCCACTGCGCCGGCTACTGCGACGCCACCTTTAACCGGAGCACCGACAACACCGGTCACAATCCTGCCGGGACCACCGAACGTACCCGCAAATGTGCTGGTGCCTAGTCGAGTGCGTGTGACGTAGTCAGGCCTGAAGAGCAGTCGCAGTCTAACCGAACCGGACTTTCCATCGAGTAGCAGCTTGAGCTCCTGCGCCTTAAACGGATCGAGCTGCTCAAGATTGATATCGGTCCCGCCTAAGAAATCGGGCTTGTCTGCGAAGTCGTAATCATAGACTTTGCAAGTGAACTTGGCGGCGGTCCGCGATGGTATGGCAACCTCGAAGAATTCGTTCCACACGGGGTTGAGAGTCTTCTTCTGCGTCTTGGTCTTGAACACATCCTGTCCGTTCAGCTCAAACTTGCAGTAGGGATCACTCTTGCCGTTCGAGTCGGCGGCAGGTAGATCTGTCGCATCCAATACATCGACACGGAGATTGCCCATGTTGTTGATGCTCTCGCTGGGATCTAGGTGCATCTTGACGGGGATGTATTTCAAGCTGACCTTGATCGTGGCCGCTCTGTTCTCTTCATCCTTGAGCCTTAAAACCGTTGGGTTATTCTGGAACTGTTAGCAACGCATTGCAATTTCTGCGGATAGTAGCAACTTACCAGACATTGCTTGAGGGTATCTAGAGTATTGCCTGTTAGGCGAGCTACCGTGTGATCCTCATCACGTTCTTCGCCTGGCTTCTCGCGTTTTTCTCTCACCTTGAGAGTCAGCCGCGAGAAGTCTAGTTCACGGATAAAGCAGTCGCCAATCTCATCGAATTTGAAAACTTTACTTTTGGCCGTGCCCGAGATGTAGCTAGGGTATAGCATGTCGTCGACGTATATTTCAAGATGCGTTCCGCTCTTTGGCATTTCTCCTTCGAGCAGTTTGAAGATGAGGAACCCAGATTCGTATTTGAGCAGCTCTTCCGGAGTAAGGTGAACCTTGGGGCGCTCCCGTGGCGCTTCGCGAGACTTTTGTTCCGACGTAGTTGATCTGGGAGAAACCGGGGATTTGGGAACGGTTGGAGTGGTTGGCGTAGTCGGGACGCTTTCTTTCCTCTCGAGGGCGGAAATCTTTCCGGCGTCTGAGGATCGGGGAACGTCGAGAGACGGCTTTGGAGCTTCGGAGCTTGTTTCCTTTTCGTTTTCGTTTTCCTTCTCCTTCTCCTTCTCCTCTTCTTCCTCGGGGTCTGCAACATTTATGCACGGATAAAACGAGACGGTATAGGTAAGCGTTCCCTTTGCGATGCCCTTTCCATGTAGCCGGAGTCCGCTCTCTTGTACCTTTTTCGCATCGTGGACGAGATACTCGCCATTATCATCTTCCGAAATGTAGTCGCCTGCAAAGACCTCAACCAAACCCAAGCTACGGTCCTTGCCCATCTTCTCGGCGTCCATGACTTCGAGCGTTAGACGATCCCTCGACGAATGCATCGGCACATAAATGACCTCATCCCATTCGGGCTTCAGGGTGTTACGGTGGGTTACCGTTCGACCTTTCTCGATACCGGAGAGGAGCACGCGGACGTAAGGATCCGATTTACCCATAGTCTCGAAATTCCGTAGGTCGCGGGCGCTCTTGAAATGGAGACGCATTACGCCGATGGGGGTTTGGTAGCCTCCGGTACCTGCTAGCACGCCAGATAGGGCGACAGGTTTCCATTGCGCAGTCAGCTTCGCTCGTCCGCTCTTGACCCCTGATAAATTGTACCAGTCGTGCCCCTTTTCCATCATCTCCAACATATCGTCAAGCTTGATTTGGTACGTGCCAATCAACTGGTCGCCAGCAATATCGCGGTCGTCCTTGAGAGCAAGACCCAATTTGGCATTCTTTCGGTCCGTGATAAGAATCTCTTTGGAACCGTTATCCCAGACGGGATTGTTGGTGCGCTTGAGCGTTTTGGTGTGGTGAACTTCTTTACCGTTGAGCAATAGAACAGCATACGGATTGAGCAAGCCAACTAAGCTCTTAGTGCCGTCAAGATCCTTCGCTTGCTCGACAGTGTATCGTAGAATACCCGTGTTAGATTCCGGTGGCGGTTCTACTACGCCGTCATGCTCCATAGCTTCCAGAACAGGGAAGAAACGGAAATCGGCGCTGACCACACCCCGGGCCTTGCCATGAGCGACGACTTCTAGACGTTCGTTTTCGTACACGCCAATCTCCTCTAGCCGCTCGAGCGGGAAAGAGGCAACACCGAGTTCCTTATCCTTGCGGAAATCATTATAGTCGTAAATGGTGAGATCGAGGGAGTCGTTAAAGGACGTAACGATAACATAGTGCGTTTCGTTCCATCTGGGGTTCGGAGTGTCCTTGACAACCTTGGTCTGAGCTAGGGGCGCCCTCTTGTTCAAGGTGAACACAGCATACGGGTCGGGGTTGCCAGCAAAGTTATCAGGGTTCTTGAGACCTTGCGCTCCGTGAAGCGTTACCGCGACCACGCCGATAGCTTGGTCGACGGGAGAGCCTGCGAGCAATTTGGCTACCTCGATCGGGAAGACGTTCGGGGCGTACATCATCGGGGCTAGGTTTCCGTGAATCTGCTCCTGGATAAAGCTTTCTAGGCCCGGAATAAAGTTGATGTCGAAACCGAAGGTTTCGCCACCGAGGGGCTTGCAAGCATAACCGAGCTCTGGGCGCTCGAGGAAGCACATCTCAATTTTCTCGATGTGAGGGAAAGGAAATTGGAGTTTAATCTTCAGGCGCATGATACCAGAGAAAGACATATTTTCTACGATGACGTCGAGACCTTTGCTAATCATCGCCTTGCCGATGCGGATTTCGAGGACTACCTTGGGATTAATCTTGTTGCGGACCTGCCGAGCCGTCATGTCCTCGTCGTCGTTTGGCGTGAAACTAAACTTCCAGTCCATCAGGATAATGTCGTCTTCCGCCTTGGGATAAGTCTTCACGTGCTCCATCCTGGGAGGTTTGGACCCGAGAGTAAAGGTCTTCAGGCGGAGACTGTCGAGAAAGGAAGGAGTCGCAGAGCTTAGCACTTGGTCGACGGAATTAATAACGGTCTGAGCGAGAACGGGCTGATAGATGGGCCAGAATTTGACCAGAAACGAGTTTATCCACTCGAGAGATTCGTGATCCGTTTCTAGCTTCTTCAGCGCCATCTCTCTGGTAATATCGTCGCGGAAATTTCTTCGCACTCGTCTGATCGATGTTCGATAGTACGTCGAGCAGCAGGCCATAACGATGATGACCCAAGCCAGCCCACCCCCAAGCAGGGCAACCAGCCACGAGGCGAGGCAGGCGAAGATAATCACTCCGGCATTATGGTACCATTCTATAGAACCGACCAACGTTAGCAACTCGCGCCCAGAGGACATCGGGATCGGGTAGACCAACCTCCAAAATACTGGTCGGGAAGCCTCTCTTCTAGCCAAGTAGAGTGATCCAATAGACTTTCGCCTTCCGTAACGCTATCGACAGGCCAACCGAACCGTTGAGTCCAACCAACTTTGGCAGCCAGGTCTTCCTCTTCTTCGGGGGTATTTCCATCTACGATCGGCCTACCCTCCTTGTCCTTGGGGATTTCAACGGCCCCAGCCTTCGAGGGAGTCGGGAGGTCGTAACTGGCCTTCGTGCCGTCGTCGACATCAGTAGCAAGAGCCACACCTTTCGGCTTTCGCGAACGGCGGGGATCGTTGGGTATAGCCTAAGTTAGCTCAATTAGCTGGCGTCTTCGACGGAAAGAAGCTTAGGGAACGCACAGCCCTAGCCTGAGCCCTCTTCTCTTCCGGACTCGCATCCGGATCGAATGTGAAAGCAGCCACGCCCGCATTTCTGCTCTCCTCGACTAGTTTCCTCTGGGCGTCATCCGCAGTAACATTGGATTCAGGATCACGAGAAGCCTCGAGAGCCCCTTGCTGCTTGAGCTCGCTAGCTTCCAGTTCGGTAGCCATATTGACGATCGAATGCTGCTATGGCAGCTGTTAGGGGGCTCAAACGCGGGGGGAGGATAAGTAGCCGACCGGCGTGTAACAGAGCATAGGGAGTCGCAGAGTAAAGCTAGGGGGGGCGGCAGATTCTGACGAGGAAATCGAGCTGAGCTAAATGAGCGTAGAACTGGTAACACAAAGGTACGTATATTTGGTATTAAGCCGTCCGCAGGAGGTGGGTAACGGTAGTGTAGCTAAAGGATAACTAGCGATTCCAAGTAGCTATTAGCGATGCATGTAAGTAAGGAGATGCAAGGGCAGCGGGTAAGCTAGCGATAATTCACGAGTCTGCTTCCAATTGCGGGCTGCCGTACCTTAAGAGTTGACGGAAAGGGGGAGAAGAAATGACAAATAAGGAGAGAAGAGGAAAAAGTAAAGGGCAACGGGGTCAAGAAGTAGTCAAAGTTGGCGATAGTCACGAAGATAAGCTTAGCAATTAAAGAAAAGCCACGCAGCGCCTCGTTTTCTCAAAGTTTATATGGGTACCAGGATTGGAAGTGATTGGAAGTTACGGGCTTGGCTACCTCACAGCTGTCTTCCCAGATGTTCCCAGATTCGTGGCCCCATGTGGCTCCAAACGACGTAATTTCGACAGGGATCTTATCGCCTAGCGCGTCGCTAGCTCGCCGAACCAAGCCAATGGGATTTGGCAATTTCAGGCAGCGCAACACGAATGTAGAATAGCTTTCCTCCCTACAACACCTGAGATACAGGGTTGGCTATTTACACATCTTTAATATTTTTAATACCTATGTAAAATGCAGCTTTCCCAATATTAGGTTGACTGACAGACTGTCAAACCTTACTTGTGAATCGTTCAGTTCAATGCTGTCCGACGATACTCGACCGTGCTCAAGAATTGCCAACATCATATATCGACATCGTATCTAGACCGAAGCAGAATATGCTAGCTATGTAATTGCTAGCCAGTCCGTACCGTACCATCCTGCCATATTATCGCTCCGAGTTGGACGATCGTCGCATCGATCTGCCCCGGGGACTTGAAAGTTCCAGCTGATCCCTCCCAGTTTGACTCAAAGACGGCGCTGCAGCTACGGATAGCAACAATAATAGCATCGCTGTTCCCGAACGCTTTCTAATCCTTGGAACGGCTAGCAGATCAGGATAAGCGGCACCGCCACCACCGGCCAACGCCAACCTACATCGATAACCGCAGCCATAGATGCAGAAAGCTCTTTTCTTACCATAGACGTGTCGGTATCCGCGCCACGGGCCGCTCAAACGGCGTTTCAGCGTGCGGGGACTGGTCACCGCTCGAATTTTCTATAATAGCTCTAAAGTTTATTTCGGTGCCGAAGAGAGTCATTTCTATATGCGCATTTGCATGTATTGCATAGTTCCTCGTTCGTCAGTTCATTTTATTATAGAAGCGTCATACAAACGAGATGGCGTAGTAGTACCTAGGTCCTACGCATGCGCGAGACGTTCTGGAGTAGTATTGCACGCCGGGTGATCCGTACGCGACGCTCCCACGGCAAACCCCAGCCGGTTCGTTGTTTCTTAGGGCGCCGAATAACCGGCCGTTTTTTTACAGACAAGTGCTACACGTGGAACATGTGTGTATTCGAAGCATATAAGATGGCAATGCTACCCGAATGAGAGTGGGGTATAGTCATACCATGATCTAATCATTACAAGGCAATCCCGCTAAGCTTGTGTGAATCAGCTTCAGCGTCTGTATCGAGTAGACGAAAGAGTTGACTTGATCAAGTTTTACCGAGTTCTTCTCGATACGAAGCGGCCCGCTGCACTAAAATAAGCACGATGCCGAAAACCTGTCAGGATTCCAAAGTCAATCAAGGCTAAGGTCACATCAAATTGATACTTCTGGTTTTATTAACATGTCGACCTATATTACATGTAATAATTCGCAACAAATTGGCGGGGCAGCTCACGGGCTGTCTTCTTATCAGTGTCCCGCACGCCTTGGTTCAATTAGTACATCGCAATATCAGGGAATGACGATCGCATTGGCGTCAATGTCGCTTGGCCAAGGAACCCAATTATAGAATTGGTCTCAAGGAATTCGTTGATATCGTCGCCGTACAAGCAAGTTACTAGCTTGTAACCTCAGTCCAATGACACCATTCCAATACGAACTTTACTACGCACGTATTCATTCCAACTACGGTATAATTTGAGTTCACCTTGTTCACTAGAGTCAATCTAAAGAGGCCAATTCGGGGTGGAACCAGCGTCAAGTAAACATTATAGACATGGAAGAATACACTTTATATTTTTAAAGAGGGAATGGAATAAACAGAAAGCTTTTACCCTAAGCGAAATAGCCAAGTAAATGTCGAAGGCTTTTTTATGCTCAAGCCAATAGAGATGACAATAGCCTCAAGATTATTATACTTAATTCCAGCTAAAAGGGGTGTACTCAATAGGAAGTACCTAGGTAGCTATCACTGTATATCATGTAAGGCGCAACGACCGAAGCGTGCGATGAAGCGTGCTAAGAAGTGCTACTATATCACTACCCCCGAGTGTTGATGAGGAGAGAGTGATAGAGGCCGTGACGAAGGCAGGTACGAATAATATTATGAGGGGTCTCTTAAACTACAGCAGCAGGACCTTCAGCTTAGACTCTTATAACAATACGGCTACAAGTCGGCTCTCGCTATATTCAGCTATTTCGCCCGTTTATACTTGAAATACATTTTATCATCATCTTAACTTTCCTTGATTTCGTGTACAACACTTGGGCGGTATTATCGGGGCGATTGGCGAAGTAGACGAAGATGGAGGAGCCGAATACCAATAGTCTCCTTCTTAACTTATTACCAGTCGAATTAATCACCGAAATATCGAAATTCATGCTACCGGTCGATCGAGCTGTATGTTCTTTGGCATGCCGCTCGCTACGTTCCATCTTTGGCAACTCATCTGTACGCAACCTTTCTACGGCGCAGTACCTTAGATACCTCGTAAGAGTCGCTCGCGATCTTCCGGACCAGTGGGTATGCGAAGCTTGTTTCAAGCTACACCCCATCTCTCAAGACGATACGCCTCTAACCCCGTGGAAAATGACGTGTCCCTTGCGTTGGGATCGGTGGTGCCATGAGGTGTACGGCCAGCAATCCCGGCTCGATAACCGTTACTTCTCTGTCGACCATCGTCACATCCAGCTCGCGCTCAAGTACACACGTCTGCGAGATCCTAGGTACCAACTTTACCTCAACAAGTTGTTAGCGGAGCATCGTGACCTCGAATTCCCTACCCACCCATACCCGTACAGCCGACAGAACGTACTCAAAGTTAAGTACGTCGCTACTCCTAGGGTCGTAAGGGATCGCTATGGAAATCTCAGGTACATGCTGCGGTCTGTTTGGGACTTCCGAAAAGATTCCATGGATATATCGTTGGTAACGGTGGGAGACATCAAGCTATGCCCACATCTAGCTCTACTGGGCGATATGAGACGGATGAGAGTTCACGAATTAGACCGCTTGCAAGTGGTTAAGCATGATATCTTACTCAACGAGAGAGAAACATACCCAGCTGCCTGTCACGTCTGCGCTACCGACTTCTATGTTCTCATATACAAGGACCACATCATGGTACACACGTGGCAGGATATGGGGACTAAGGGTTCTCCAGGTACGTAGAATGGAGCAACCCTTTACCAAAAACCCTGACATGTTTCGAGAGCTAGGATTTCCCGACCTAGCCGAGGGAGGAGCTATTACTAACGCGTTACCAAAGGAGATAAAGCTTGGAGGTTGCACGTCTCGGACTCTCGTTTTGGTAGCCCACCCTTCGGTGGCCGTTGGCCCATGTTCCAAAAGCCCGGAAGCATTCGAGCACTATACAATCGAGCGAAGCCCTTAGGAGTCGACGATGACTTTCGTCCAACTAGACGGTCGACGAACCCGTAGCGATCTATGTTCTTACCTCATTTAGAGCAAGCGAGAGAAGTAAAGTTACCTAACCTAAGCGAATAAAGGTATTCTGTACTTTCAAAGCATCGTGGAATTATTGGTCTTTAGTGGTTTAAGATAAGTAACCGGCAATTCTTTTGGCCCTGTTATTCAGGGGAAAATATGTAAACCTAGCGTCCAGGGAGGAAACCTAGGCTTTCCCAAGTATTGGGTAGGCTAAATGGAGGATGGCAAAATTAAAATAAATGCCTCGTTTATAGACGATGAAAAAAAGGGGCTGGAGGAAAGTAACCGATAATATGAGGTGCTTGTGATGTCCATGAAACAACCTGGGTAAAGTTGATGCGATTCAAGGACAACCACGCCCTACGAATAATGGGCGACTTTGAAGTGTTTATCCCCGGTCGTTAAGCTATAACTACCTACCCTTGGAAGACCCAACTTGATTTAGATTTCTAGCGCCGAAGCCCTACGTTAAGGGACACCGGGAGAAAGAGTACCAGTCCTAGAGCACCCATAAGGTAATAGTTTCCGTTAAGAACTGCTTCAGCGCTCAAGTCTTCCGCTCCGCCAACTCTTGGATCCCCGTCTTCGTCTCCGTGTGCTCCGTTCTTAGTTGCCGATGTTTAATGAAAACGCTCGCCACCACCGCAAGGGCGGACACACTGGTGTATAGTATGAACATGTTCCTTATACTCCACGAAAAGGCATCCAGAACCGCCTGGCGCTGAGCTGCATCTTGGATGGACTGGACGATCTCGACATTTGCTGCTGCTTGATCGCCGGATAGAGCCTCTAGAATAGACCCGCTGAGACCAGCCGCCGCAAGGGACGATTGGCGATTGGCCATACTGTTCTGGAATACCACACCGCCGACAACGATGGATAAGGACGTCGCTAAGTTGCGGATGAAGCCTAAGGCCGACGTAGCTGACGCAGTATCAGCTTGGCTGACGGTGTTTTGGATGGCGATCATGGGTGCTTGGAATAGAAGCGCAGTGCCGATGCCATTGATGATTTGGTATCCGATGATTTCCCCGAGAGATGTGTCCGGCCGGAAATTGATATACAGCCCCGTCCCTAACGTCATGAACGTTGCTCCGGCCCATATGATTTCCCTGTAGCGGCCCGTGCGATGGATCAAGACGCCGACCAATACGTCCACAGCTGATTCCGTTATCATCATCGGCAGTATTAGAAGACCGCTACGAACAGGTGATGCTTGCTTTGCACTTTGGAAATATAACGGTAGATAATACTCTGCGCCGATAGCGACCATGCTATGTGCAAAGGCAAGAAGGAAGGTCGCGATATTAGACCAATCCTTGAATATTTCTAGCGGAATCAGGGGATACTTGGCTAAGCGCTGCTCGCTTAGGATGAAGAAGCCGATCATCACAGTTCCAAATACGATCAAGCAGATGACCTTCGGACTGTCCCACGGGAAGATCGCGCCACCGAAGTCTAGTCCGAGGAGAAGTAGGAGAGTAACTCCCAAAATGGAGAAGGTGCCGAACCAGTCAATAGCCACCAGGCCGTCGCGCAGCTTGGTATGAGGATCGTAGACATCCAAGAAGAGCAGCAAGAGCAAGAACGAAGCGCCACAGACCGGCAGATTAATCCAGAAGCACCAGCGCCAACTCACGAGCTGGGTAAACGCCCCTCCAACCAGCGGCCCGGCGCATCCGGCGAGCGCCCACATCACGCCGAGGAAGCCCAGATACAAGGCTCGGCTCCGCATGTCGAAGAGGTCCGAGATGGTAATAGTCACCAATTGGAGCAGCCCTCCGCCAGCGGCGCCCTGCAGCGCTCGAGCGGCAATTAGCATCTGCATGTTTGTGCTTAACGCCGCGATGATGCTAGCGACGGTGAAGACGCCGACGGCTCCTAAGAGAGCAGGTTTGCGGCCCCAGATGTCGCTGCATTTTGCCCAGATCGGCCCCGCCGCCACGTTGGCTAGCACATACGCGCCGCCGATCCAGACGTAGCCGGAAGCGGAGCGCAGGGCGGCAGAGATTGAGGGGATGGATGTTGCCACGATGGTCTGGTCTAATGCCGCGACAAAAAGGGTGAGCTGGAAATATCGTTAGTAACAGTTGCGCGCCCATTCTTTGGAATAGAGGTATATACGTAGAGCGCGACTAAGAGGGTGTAGGTACGCAGCTTCGTGCGGACTTTCGGAGGTTCGAGTACATCGAGCGACTCTATGTTCTGTTCATTGATAGGAGCCGGCTCTGCTGGACCGCCAGCATTTATACCGACAGGCTTAACATGCGTGATATCGTCCATTGTGTACTCAATATACCCAAATATGCTCGATAGAAGTTGAGATTTCGTGTAAAAAGGAAAAAGAGAGGTGAACTTGTAGTGTAAACAAATGTTGATCCATTGACCAATCACCGCTCAATTGGAACGTCCTGTGCCGCTCAAAAGCCATGCCACCCACGCCCTTTCAAAACTCGTCATCACGCCTTTTACGATATCGGCACTGATGTTGTCTTGACCACCACACTACGGCGATCGACACTTACTAAATCGTATGGGTTGTAAGTTTTCGATACCGTGGATAAGAGAGGAACTAAAAAGTAATCTACGGGATTAAAAAAGAAAGAAAAAAGGTATTGCCCTGAGTGAGATTTGAACTCACGACCTTTAGATCTCCCAAACTGTGTTTAGAACCGCATGAGACTAACGTTCTAACCAACTGAACTATCAAGGCTTATGTTACAAGGCTTTTGTTACAAGGCTTTTGTCTTTAGAACTGGGAACCTGGGCCCCAGAACCGAGACGATGTTGCTTGAAAAAGATACTTATCACTCAAAAGAAATAGCGCCTGGTTTTACCGATAACAACAAGAGCATTTTGCAAAGCTAGGAGTCATCATTGAAGTTGTTGGGATTATGGGAACATATTTGTTATAGCACAAGGAATGAAGGCATCGTGTGCAGTCTCACAATGAACCCGACACCCCTGCCGGAAGATTTCATGGAGGATTCAAATATTTATATATTATGCAAGAGGCCCGAGCCCCGAAAGCAAATATTGTCTATGTGCAAATCTTAAGGAACGTGCTTCGCTAACCCAAATGCAAGAATAACCCATTGACATTATACCCTTCCGTTTACCTTAGGCTAGAGTCGGACTCATATATGCGCGTCTTGCTCCAATCGATTAACCTCCAAATTAGGCGGTGGGGTTGGCGTAGCAGAGGACATAGCCAAAGTCGACAGAGTTGGTGCTGATGGATGCGTTCACCGAGCTGGTGAAGGCAGCGCTGCCCCGCTGGACTCCGAACTGGTCATTGTAGCGCTGGCAGGTGATGTCGGCCACACCAATGGCGGGCCGGCCCGGGGCCGGAGGTGCGGTGATGTAGACGCTCTCGATTGCCAGGCCGGTGATCGGCAGGTTCTCCTGGTGGCCGAGAGTCGCGAGGTCGACAGCGACTCGCTTCTCGGACCACTCACCGCTGATGGGGCGGTTAATTGCAACTAGGTTGACCTTGGCGAAGGGGGGTTCCTTGGGGAGAGCCGCGGCGGAGGAGACGAGGGCGGCAGCAATGGTAGCAACGGTAAAGGACTTCATTTTGATAGATGTAATATGGTAAAGTTGAGGAAGTGGATGAAGTTGTGGATGTTGATGAAGCTACAGATGTTAATGATTATGAAATTTAAACAGCAGACAAACTTCTATTTATCTTTATCGAATTCTATAACTTCGCGATTCTTCGGCCGGGGACGTCATTTAGAACTCTGCAGTAAACATGCTAGCAAAAGATCTTGTTGAGGCGCAGTTGGAATCGCCGCCGCCAAGTTACCTTTTAGAGACTTCCATCGCATTCTCATTGGCCGAATATACGTCGCCAGGGTAATACGATGAGGCGTCGAGTCACCTCAGCCGCAGATCAGCAGCCATCAGCAGCCGCCTCGTACTGGTCGTATAACTTGTCATATTTTTAGTCCTAGATCCTGATCTATATCGGTAGAAGGATTAGTATAAGCAATCGCTGGCACGTTACATCTGTTGACATGATTCGAGCGTATTCAGATCCATGGCTTGGCTCTACCAACCGTAGAAACGGTCAATTCATAAGAGCCTAGATGTTACTCTACAGGGAATACCGCGTAGTCAGGAGTATGAATGGCTGAAGCATATATGCGAATAGCCCAACCGCAAAGGTTATAAGCTATTGTCGAATTAAAAAATAAATAAAAAATAATACATCAACTCGTATAATATTGGTTCGGGTGGTCCGTGCCATTGTGTAACAACTACAAGTGTATAGAGTGGGCTGACTGCAGCGTTACCAACTCGCCAACCTGCAGTTTAATAGCGTGGCCGAGAAGTGGCACTAGCTCACCACGTGGCTAGAAACCCGTGGTGCTGCTCGATTCATGGACAGGTTATTCAATCCATCATGCCTCGAGGGGGGCCATATTTACTCAGAGTATCGGTCTGTCTAAGGGAGGATCGAGGATGAGGTCCGAGGCTTTGTTAATGCTTCTTTGAAGCTCGCGCGTGCGAAGCGGAAGAGGCTAAGGGCTAGCAGTCCGAGTTGGATTCCGTTATAGTGCTGCTGTCTCCTAAGAAGTTGAAGATGCGGGCTTACATTTTCATCAGCCTGACATCACAATGCCATCTACCAAGTAGCATGCTGGATGCGCTACGTTTCAATCAGGACAAGATATCAACGAAAGGATTAACGTGAAGAGGACATTCTGATTACCGAGCTACCGTAAATATATTGATTCTATTCCCTAGTTAGGTACCTAAGTATGAAATGCCTCTTGCTCGTCTCATTACTGCTTCCCTTCTCGTCTGAACACCTAACCAACCCGTCCTCCTAAACAGTCTCTACTGCTACCTCTGCGCTTACTATATCCGCACCGCCAGTAGCCCTCCACCCGTCTTTTTGATTTCCATGCACAACCGAGAACAGTGGCACCTCTCCGTGTCGGGTATACACACCCGACTACGGTCTGTGCATATGTTGTTTATGCACACCCAAGTACCTGGTTGGTACCAGGGGTGATCCCCCGACGAGAATTCCAGCGTCTTTTGTACGGCTACGCCCTCGTGAGTGTCCGAGAGCCGAAGGATCGTCCCCATTACCACCTCCACCGTGGCTCCGTTGTCCATATCGGGGACTAGTATATTCATGAGGTCGAAGAGGGGATTGACCGCTTCGCCCCATGATTTGTCCCCGATATGGCGCCTCGTCCTCTTCTCCGGGCTGGAGGTGCGCACACGTTTTTGCGGTATGACATGTGAGAAATCAGATGAAACGGGGCGAAAAGCCTGAACAGGCTATCTCGAGCCATTTCAGTACCCGGCAATAGCGAAATGGACCCCTCTAAATTGAAGCATAAGATAATTTGTTAGGTTAGCCCATATGCTATCGGTGAGTTAATGCATACCTGTCAGAATTCTAGATGTCTCGTCTCGCTCCTCTTGTGTCGTATCTGCTTCACCGAAGAGTCTGTCTCAGGAGATGACTTTGTTTAAGTGTACCCGTTTTATCGAGAAGATCATTGTTATAGGCTATTTGTTGAAAGTGTATATGGGTCCATGTCTGAGGAGAAGGTAGGTAAAGATAGAGGATATCGTGGATAGAAAGGTGTCCGAGTGTTATAGAAAGACACAAGTTAATAGTAGTAGGTTAATAGTAGTGAGTTAATGGTAATAGATTAATGGTAGTTGGTTGGTAGTTGGTTGGTAGTTGGTTGGTAGTTGGTTGGTAGTTGGTTGGTAGTTGGTTGGTAGTTGGTAGGTCGTTGGTTGGTAGTTGGTTGGTAGTTGGTTGGTAGTTGGTTGGTAGTTGGTAGGTCGTTGGTAGGTAGTAGACAAGAAAATTTGAGATTTAGTTGTGCTGAAATAACATGTGGCCAAGAGATTCAACCTGTCAGGTGCAGTACGAGGTATCTTAGCAAGAGAGCGTACCTTCCAATAAGCCAGGCTTCCCCCTTCCGCTCAGTGAGAAGCAAGGTGTTACTTTGGTAGGTACACCTGAAGGTAGACGGGTCACTACCTCCTAAGATGCCTACAAGGTAGGATCTATTACACTATGTATATTTGAAGAGTGGAAAGCGCGATTGCCATACCGGCAGTACAAACCTTATTAGGAATTTGTAACGCCAAATGTCGACACGTGGTCGGGTTGTTGTTGCTTCCTGAATTTACAAGATGTATGCATTGACTCATCGATATCATACGCACCTACCTCATATACTGTCTTATGCGTTAATTACCTGAGGGGTCCATCTCGCTGTTGCCAGGTACTAAAATGTCTCGAGGTAGTAGTATACTCGCGTTACAAACCTTATCGAAGGTTTGACGCGTGGTCAGGTGGTTGTTGCCTTCTGAGGTATTGTTAGAATCCTAACAGATGGCTGAAATCAGATGCCCCATGACGGGAGTGTTACTAACATTCGTATCAGGATTCTAAATAAGACACCTAGAACAAAAGACATGTTCAATATGTATAGACTCAAACTCCCATAGTTACATTATGGTCTATTGACATTATGTCAGCAAACGTGTCAATGTGATTACCTAATCACAGGTCTTTAACACCATGTAAAGACCATGTCAACAGTTACATGTATCTTAGCAAACTAAGACCAGGTGCGAATTGCTTTCGTTCGTCTCGTTGTACCTTTTTAGCCATACCAATTTTTAACCAATTATACTTTTAACTTTTTTTACAAAATTTTGAATTATTAGTTTAAATTAAGAGCATTGATATCCGGGCTATGTCACCAAAATCTTAAATCACGTGATGCAGCCCCGCAGCCAATTAACCAATCAACTTACACGATTCCAATCTCCCAACCCATACACGTTCCTATCAACATAACCTCGCTTTTAATTCAAATAACTTTTCGACAACGACACTCGCAATGCTTTACTATATACCATTAGATAGAGCGAGAAATTAGAAAAATTACAAATTTGGTTGCATCATTGTGACTATTTTATACAATTTATTATGTGTACTCAAGTTATGAGTAATGATTGAAATTGACTTGAGTACAATTACATACCTATCACCCCACTCTGAAACTAAAGCATAAGTAATTGAGTAAAATAGCTAAGATGGTGCAACCAGGCTCATTATTTTTCTTATTTTCTGCTCTATTTAATGATCCACAATGCGGTATTGCGAGCGTTGTATTCGAAAAGTTATTTGAATTGCAATCTGGATCTGTATATAATCGCGTATGTCTTTACATTTTGGTGTGGTGAGATGCTATTCTGGTAGTTTGATTGGCTAATCTGCTGCGGGGCTGCATCACGTGATCTAAAAACTGGCAACATAGCTGGAAATCAGAGATTTCAGGTCCCCTGACAGGGCTGACAAATCTGACAATATATTAGCTAATCACCGGTAGCAATAGTCATTTGACATGCGCATGGCCGACATTATGTTCACACCTCAACATGTCCGCCAACACCATGTCAATAAACCCATAATGTAGGTAGGTGTCAGATTGTTAGGTAACCCGAAATCTCTGATTTTCCTGTAATTACTTGCACTTCACGCGTTTTCACAATCAACTCTTATATATTTCATTAGTACTGCCACAATTTTTTTCGCCAATCAGATCCTTAGAATCGCCCCGCAGTTGGCGACTTTTTCCTTTGCCATTCTATCGCACAAGGTCTGCAAAAGGTGCAAATGGTATAGAAATGTCATGCAAAACGCGCTCTATCCAACGATACTAATTATCAAAATTTTTATCCAAAAGTGAAGCAATTCAATTGATTTTACAAAAAATTCATCGGACGTGCGCTGAGGTGTGGCTAGCCAATCAGAGGCCAGAGTCTATTTGTGGCCGTGAAAAGGTCTGACTATTTATCACGTGCGTATGCTACGGAGGATTGTGTCACCGGCAAGCCACGTCCACGGCCACGGCCACAGCCGTGGCTGTGGCCGTGGCCGTGGCTTTTTAAAAAAGTAATAGGCTTAAAAGAACCCCCCGTACGCGCTTGCGCGGACGGGTAGCGCAGCTAGTCTTAACACATTCAACCAGATCATTAGTAATTACATCAATATCACCTCAATTATTGCCTTAATAGTACATATCGGCTGTGTGACAATACCTTTTGGTCATATGGTCAATCTAACATTAATTTTTTGGTTTTTGGCACTAATGTATTAAATGTACCTATGTATTAACTCTAGCTATGTTGCAACATCTAGTAAACTGAATCCCGTCAATTTCGAATTCCTCCTCAACCCCCTCCTGCGCCGAGGCCACCTCGCCGCCGGTTCCCTTAGGCAGCACGGAAAGCCACCCGCGGTTTGCGGGCAGCGGGTCGTTAAGTATGCAGGCCTTAAATCTCGGGTCGCACGAGGGACTTAACCAAAATGCTATCTGAATTTGGTCGTTTATCTCCCCCTCGGGGAAATCTGGCTGTCCCTGCTCCCAATCTTTGAATTTTCGGCGGATGACTGCCACGTCCCATCTATTTAGGGTATCTAGCGACGTTGGGGCCATGTCTCCGCTGAAGGGGCCAGTAGACATTACGTACCCGTTATAATAGCTCCGTACGTCGTGGCGGTAAACCTCTTCTTCGTAGAGGGCGTCGAGCACCTTGCGAACGTTAGTTACGTCGTGGTGCCGCAGCCGGAATACACGCTCTTCTCTCTCATTTTCCGCTGCTTCTTCCTTGCCGGCGAGGAATTCGCGGAGCTTAGAGAAGAAATTTTTCGTCTCCTTTCCGTTGTCGGGTTTCGTAGCACCCCATAGCGTCAGGGCAAAGCTCGACCTATCTTCAAGGGACATGTCGTTGTCTTTGGGGCGACGGAACTGGGGTATCTTATCCATCACGGTAGGATCCAAGGGGCATAATGGGCTCATGTGCGACTTGGTTCGTAAGGCTATGGCCATCTGCATGGCGTATCTTAGGATGAAGAGCTCGCCGTTCCATATGGGGTGTGGGAGCAGCTCGCACAGGTCCCGTATTATCTCCGAGCTTTCTACCTCCCCCAAACACAAGCCCCAGGTGAAAAGATCGTGTGGCGTAGAATGAAATATGTGCACCATCGACCTCCAGAACTCGTGCCATGCGGGAGTCTTTACCATGTTGGCAAGGCCGGGGTGGTTGGTACGATCGCTCTCGTTCCAGTTCTGCTCGACCCAGGGCACATTCGTCTCTTCGCCAGGTATCATCGCCGACTCGAAATCCGCTTCCTGCACCAGGTCGCGGCTGGGAGGGACGGGGTAGATGCTACGGCTGCCGCGGGGAGCTTTCTTGGTAGAGGTTCGCTTCGTAGAGTTGGGTGCTTTGGAAGGGCCGGGTTGGGTTAGCGCTTCCTCATCCTCCAAGCCGCTCAGGTCTATGACTTCTGAAGCGTAATCGGAAAGCCTTGATTTCTTGACGCGTTCGCTCTTACGAATGGGCCATGCTTTTAGACGATTCGCGAGATCCTCTTTCGTGGGCCGTCCGCCCAAGTTTTTCCCATCCTTCGAGAAGTGTTTACCCGGATCTTTTCCCGACATGTCTGGTTATGAGGCGGGAGGGAAAGACAACGACGATCGAGGATGGTGCTAGTAGATGTAAATACCGAGATGCAGGTCAATGGTAGAGGCGCTAGATGAACGAAGGCGATATAGAGGGCCGCTGATAAATTGCAAGAAAGTGAATTGCAGAATTGCGGGATGTAGAGCTGTGAATTGTGGGATGTGAGAAATCAAATGAGACGAGGCAATAAGCCTGAACAGGTTGTTGCCTCGAGTCATTTCAGTACCTGGCAAGAGCGAGATGGACCCTTCCAAATTGAGGCAAATATGATATGTTAGGTAGGCGCGTATGCTATCGGTTAGTAATGCATACTTGTAGAATGCAGGAGGCAACAACCACCTAACCACATGCACGCATCGAATCAAATTTGGCGTCACAAATTTTCGATTAGGTTTGCACCGCCAATATACTGCTACTCTCACTTTCCACTCCTGTAAGTATCTCATCAACCCTCGATAAGGTTTGTACTGTTCATATACCACTACTCGCGCTTTCCACTCTTCAGATAGACACGGGTCTTCTATCATCATCTTCGCGTGAAGGCTCTATCACCTACAGCATTGACGATCAACTAAACCTCAAATCTTGTGCTTCCCACTCTTTAGATAGAAACAAACCCTCTATCACACACATCGTTCCCGATCAACCAAATTTCTGCAGCCATTAACCCACACCCTTGTACAACACTCAGATACTTCTATCTGTCCACATTGTCCTCTATCATTGCCTACCTTCCGGATTTGTTATTGGCGTAATCATCATCGTCACCTTTCCCCCCGTAGCCATGAACCTCATCCAGGATCTCCGAGTCACGAACCCTGTCGGTACGAAGCTAATGGTAGAGACCTTGTCAAAGCGGCAGGTGCACCTAGACACGGCCATTCTCCCCAACAGACTCTTCGCCGCGGATATGACCCCAGTGAAGCTGGAAGAGTTAGCTGAAATCAGATGCCCCGTGGTAGGAGTGTTGCTAACATTCATTCGATGCATGCTTCGCGGCTATTTCGGATATGAAGATGGCAAGCCCGAGTCGCCCCTAACGAAATGCGCATGGCATAACTTCGGGCATGACGTGGAGACCGACAAGCGCGTGGCCGGGGAATTTATCGCTCTGGTATATCCCGATTTGCTTGTGAAAACCTGGGTGGAAATAGAAACTATGACCTTCACCGAAGTGCTTTCCAGCTCACCTATCATTGAGACGTTCTTCGCCAGCCCAGATTTCCATCTCCTCAACCCCCAGTTCCGACAAGCGCCGCCGGGCGGCGCTCTCCGTCTAGCCAGGTTTAGTACTAACGAGTTAGTCACCAGTAGTAAAGTAGAGTGGAATGGGGAAGAAGACCTGGGAGAACTTCTTAGTAACAAAGCTGGAATGAAGTGCGAGCCGAGTGGAGGAAGACAACACTTGCTATTGGGATCCCCTATACTTATCCGAATAATCTACCGGCCTTGTTCCCAAGCAGGAATGCGGTCATTTGAATATCTACGCCGGGTAAGTATGTCTGGAGAGGTCATGACTGCAGACGGAATACAACAGCACGAACTCTCATACGGGCTTGTCAGCATTGTAGTCGATACGACAGGGCTATGCAAGATTGGGACGTACGACGCACGCTCCGGTCGTCGTAACAAACCTCACCTATCGCCAGACTGTGTCACGCCTCGCACGTGCCTGGAGGATGAATTTATCGCCCGTCCCTGGTCCACACACTTCTTACTATACTCGGCAATCGGCGATCGTAAACTGCCAACCGATCCACCCTCTGCGCACTCGGGGACTACTGCCAGCACGGCGCTCTCGCCTGCAGCACCTACCTCGGTGACACTCTCGGAAGCTCCCGCGCCGTCAACATCTCAGAATCAAGAGGCGTCGTCAAAATCAGCACGACGCCGCGATAAGGTGATCCAATCACCCGGAACCAAGAGACCAAGGATCGGCAAGGCGGTAGGCGCGGCCAGTTCGTCGTATAGTGTCCAGAAGCTCCTGGGCCCTCGAACGCCGAGTGGGGGTTCTGACGCGTATGACGCGCTCTGAGCAGGATATAAGCCGGGCCCGGGGGATGGGATGGGTAGGCAGTATAGTTGATAGCACGGTAGATAGCGCGATGGGTGGTATCGGGGACAAGTGGTTAAGCTGAATTTAGCATTGCAATCTAGCTTGATAACTACGACTAAACAGTCATGACCATGGATAGAGTAGTTCTTATTTACGTGAAGTTATTGGTGTATTACATGATATATCGCTTTCTTTGATATTGATCCTACCTTTCTCAAACTAGTACATACGGCCTTTAAGCATCTCAAGGAGGATCAAACTTCATTTCTCCTCATTTAGGTTGGTTGGCAGCAGACTTGAAATTGATCCCAGGGGATGAGATGGGATTCAATCTTATTCTAAGCGAAGCCGTCGGAGTTCCTGATGGTTAGCACGGCATTCAAGGGTTGGAAGGACTATGAATTCGGCTATTATATCCGTGTACCAACGTTACTCATCAATAGGAGGTGCGATAAGGTGTAGAGTGCCAGCTACACGTTACACAAGGAGGAACAACATTAGTCCATTAAGTTCAGTGGGGCTTTCCTTCTCCTCCCTGTGGCTTCCGAGTAAAGGCTACGATTTTCAGTTACATACCTATTGCACCGACCTGCCTATCCTAGGTCTTGTTCGCAAGATGGCGCCTCTTCGTATATAAATACGATATCGGTGTCTCACTTTGTTACCCCTTAAGGCGCTGACTTGCAGACCTCATTGGCTTATCTTCACATGTGGGTTGTTTGAATCTTGGGACTAACGTCTGGGACTAATTATGTCGTGTTATAACTCTTTTAGGCGGTTGTGTTTGTATTAAATGACCGGGACGCATTCTACCAAGTACTCGCCAACATTACATCGCAACGGGTCACTCTCATTTCACTCACAATTGTTGAAGTCAAACGATCAAAGGCCCTATTGATCTTAGGAGATTCTAATTCTAATTACTATTACCTAATAAAGCATCTCTCTAACTGAAGCCTATCGTACTAGATATGGCTGCCGAACCAAACGAGCCACTGCCCCTCATCTTAGACTTGTACGACGATGAAGATGTCGAAGATCGATTTTGCGCAGGTTTGTTGAGAGCTCTAGTTGATGGTTCCCAAACCCCATCCTGGGTCGCCACCGAGCTTGATACCTGGGTTGTACAGGAATCCTCGCGCAAGCTGCAGGTACTCCGGGAGCGACCGAGCTTCATAGAGACAGACGATGCCGGCCGCGTACTCCGTCGTAGCACACCAAATGCTAGCGGATATGTTGATCGTTTTTTTAAAATTTTCCCCAACCTGTGTTCTGTTTTCCCGCCATATCACGCGGGGCAGACCAGAGTCGTTCAGTTTCTTGAAGCCTTGATGGCCATGCCTGAGCACCAGGCCCCTGATTACTTTTTAGACGACGATGGGCTCAAGGATGTCCAGATGATGCCGCTGTGGTCAGACAAGGGTTACTCGACAGAGGAACTCCGCATCGGAGCAGATGGTTCGTGCTTACTCGACTATTCTACTGAACTTCACCGTTAACACATGGCATACAGCTATTAGATACCCAGGCTCCGGAATTGACACTCCAGGTAGCGAGGCAGAAGCCCGCTGGCGTAATTACCAGTCTGCTCTGGCGCGCATCGCCATTACAGGCTTTAGCGATTGCGGATTTAATAGCGCGCTGCGGGATATTATGCCCTACGGTAAAAAATGTCCCAGCTTCAACGTCCGCATAACTTCCAAGCCTGAACAAATTGGAGGTCATATTCAAGGCGCAGCGCAATGGATCATATGGCCTGATGAGTTACGCTACGTTTATGAGCAGTGTAAGAAGAGAGAGAGGGTAGATAAGGAGAACCCTCGAGACACATGGAGCATGCAAAATTGGAGAATATGGAAAGCGCAATTCGAACTTGCTGCTGGTGATGAGAGGGTTGATTCACGGGCTCGTGCGATGGCTACCACAGCCGTTGAAAAGATGAATGCAATCGAAGAGCAGGGTACATCCTAATAATCCTTAAAATAGCACCTGATGACTTGTAAAAGCGACTTAAAGCCCTCATAGTTGGCTAGAGGAGAGCTAGGCAAGAAATACGGTATATAGGTATAAACCAGATTTACTGCTTCGGCAAAAGTCTCGTTAAATCCTGTTAGCTGTACTAGTTCGTGGAGATAAAGCAATATAGGAATACCTACAATACGCTTCGAAGATATTAGGTTACTGTTAACGACTGTCTATGAACACATTCCCGCCCCTGAGCGATAAGCAAGTCCCTCTCCAATGAGGTCCGCAAGTAATCACTATTAATGCGAAACTATGATCATCCTACAATATTGTAGTGTAACACGATATAATAACTAGATTAAAAGGGGGTAAATGCATGAAACAATCCGCTATCCAGGTAAAGGGTGCCCTCGGTGGCACTTTTACCTGATCCAACAGTTCAGCTATCAACTTCCCCATATCTATCCATATACGTGGAGAGATTGTGTTTTTATCCGTTTTCGATAGGTAATAGCAAAATGCTTCTCGTGCAACCCTCCTAAGTCCTGTCCTCGCTGTGGCTGAAACCTACGGCTGGATTTATTTTCTAGTTTGGTATCATTTGGGCGGTCCTATAAATAAACCTACAGTGTCAGCCTCTTTCTAAATGAAGGAGTCGACAGGTAATGACCCAGTATTATTCGGTACAATATGGTCGAATCCATTGAAAATGAAGCCTCTCAATATATACAGCAGAATACAAAAGGGGCTCTTCATCCGTTCGAGGACTTGAATTCTGCTCTTTAACAGACCAAAACTCCGTTGACTTTTAACACCGACTCTACGAAGCCCTCTCTATTCACTAAAATGCATTTCTTCAAGGTCATCCTCGCCCTCGCACTTGCAGCCGTACCTATCACTGCTATACCCGTTGATGAAAACGGCATTGTCTCCGAGGGCCAATACCTTGAAGCCCGCACGGATACACATGTTACATGCAAACCCAAGCACAACCCAGCCAATAAGTCTTTCAAGGTTAGCATGAACTACGCGAGAGCCCAAGCCAAAGCCGCCGGCTTCCCTCCCACTGGTCACCATACCGGAAGTGGAGACCCGCACCGCTACGGCAACGGGGATAAGATCGAATGGGGCGTCAAAGGATGCAATAAGAAGAATGCTGAGTTATGGGAGTGTACGTAATTTATGGATTCCTCTATGAGTGATTCCCTTCCCATACAACCCCAGCCCCCCCACAGTTTACCCTAAGAAGCCTTTGCTAAAAGTTCCGTCGAATAGACCCTATCTATTGGGAGGGCATGGAAGAGAAGGGGAAGACAAAAGAGTGGAAAAAGGACCACAGCAGCAACGGCCAGACAAAGACCCCACTCCGCGTAGTTTATATTAAAGACAAAGGCACGCATGATGAGAGGGCCAAGGTTTGCGGCGTGATGACGCACTCCAAAATCGTTACAGTAGGCGATGGCTTCAGGGGAGAAAACTTCTTCCAGAAGTGCAAGTAGCCTACTGGATATCTAATTCTGTCATCATGATCGCCCTTGTGGCGTTGTATAATTAGGAGATGAAGATTTGGACTTGTATATGTCTTGGTTTTGCATTATATTTTGCTTGCAATATACAACCACTATGGTCATTCATGTATACATAAACCAAACTCTTAGGAGCTGTCATATGGTGATAGTCGTTACATACTTGGATTTGATCAATCACAATCAGAGTACTATCGTGGAGGAGCATTAGTTGCGAGTGACTATCTCGAGACGTATACCATTGAGTCTACAAGCAGAAGCAGCTGCAGTAACGTCTCCAGTCTTCAGTTGATAATGGGGTAAAAGCACGGTTTTCCGTACCTAGGTACCTGATACTAACTATACAATGACGAGATTCAACTTCCATTGAATTGAATATATCTGCGTCTCGGTGCGAGGGACTATCCAATCCCACAGCCCAGTCACGATAACGTGTAAGGCGGTATATGGCGAATTCGCTGCTGCCTGCCGTGTACCGTAACACTTTAGTCGGCGCTTCGTTATTAGTTACGTCGAGCAAGACCGCTCTTGGAATAAGGCGAGGTGGAGGAGCGAAAAGCGAAAGTGGCGATGAGCGATGATTTCTTCGTGGCGATCTAAGTCCTTGGAACAGCCACAGCTTTAAAGTAAAACCAAAGTCACGTAATGTAGATCGCATGACTTCAGGTGCCTTAGGTAAACACGGATCCTCCAGGGCAGGATAGAAGATAGGTACCTGGGAACTACGCCGAGCGTAATTCAGGAGCGCCCGAATTTTCCTATGCACGTACTGTATAAGATTACGATTAAAGAAGCGTCGGCGGAGCGGTTTCGGGGAGCAGTATTTAAAGGTTACTGTTTAGGAATTCAAGTTGAGGCGTGTTACTAGCTAAACTATAAATCAGAACTGTCACGAGGTGGAACGAAACATCATGGAAACAACTTCGTTGTTCCGCGAGGAACTCTAAACTAACTATGGGGGTCTTTCGTCTAACTATACATATTGAACATATCTTTTGTTCTAGATGTCTCATCTATAATCCTGACAAGAACTTTTCGTGGACTATCAACCCGAACGTAATCAGTTCGACGTAGCTGCTGAAGAGTGTATCAAGATAGACGATGCTATGCGTTCTCCCCCGTCTATTCCAGTTAGCCGTCTATATCCTTCTGGGCTCCGCGTCACATCCCCGTGTAGCTGGTGAGCATGCCACACCCTGCAAATTTTCGTAAGAGCCTGGAAAGCATCCTTGAGGAATGCCTCTTTAGGTTCCTCGTGTATGACGTCAAACGAGTTGCAGATTGACATCACAGACGGTTCCCGCTCTGCCCCACCCCTACCGTCGCCAAACATGACGGTTGCGGTTTCGTCCATCGAGCTCCAATCCCATGGATCCAGATCCGGAAACACTTCCCGAATTACCTCTTCCGTTTCGCTATCACGGGCGGCCATCGCGTTAATGATATGTAATATGAGTCGTGGGATAAGGGCTTCCGTATCGGACAATTGGTCATTAGCTCGCTCTTGGCAGTAACGGTGTTAGGGGCATCTTCTAGGAGCAGAATCAAGTTGCCGGCATCCTGGAGAATTTGCGGCAGGCCACTCATCAGAGTTGTGGTCACCCGCGGCACGGCCCACGGGTGCGGCATCTTGGAAGAAGACCTCCATTGGCCCCCCGAGTACTCAAAGAATCTGCAGTCCCGTAACGTGTCGCATAGGTCCGACACGGATTCTTTGCGGGTTGGCAGCTTCTTGCGGGGCTTTGCCACAGTGGCAGATGCGGGGCGCATCGCAACGTGGGTAGGTTGGCTAGGCTGTGTTCGGGGTAGAATAGCTGTGACTAGCCGCAGTTAGGTTAAGATGATATTAACCGGTTGGGAGTAAGTTAAAATGTATTTGGTTGAAGTTTGGGTAGAATATGTATGATTGATTGTAGTTGTGTTGAGTTGTTGTTAGGATATTGTTTAGTAGTTGGAGTTAGAGTAGAATATTATTGGTTATAGTTTGGTTGAGTGATTATGTTTAGTGATCGGAACTTGAGGCGCGACATCTGTAGAGTAGAGGTATAAAGTAAAAGTGTATGTAAAGAAGGTAATGAAAAGTGTAAGTTGTTGGTGTTGTAAGGTGTAATTGATGTTGATTGAGTAAAGTTCATAATTACTGGGCAAAGCCTAGTAATTTTCAGTATAGCTAGTAATTACGTAATACCACCACACACGGCCAAACACTCCCTCGTTGGGGATAACCCAGACCCAACGAAACAGGACCAAACGAGGTCATCGTAACTCATCCTAGCCCATCTCATATCCTCCCATGCTCAGTCGTCCTCAACTACACTCGATATACTCGATATACCCTTACAATCACTCAATCTCAAACATACAACAACAAAACCACACATAACCACACATACAACGTTTCCCAGTGGCTCCCAGCATAGTCAAACCTTCTTTAGCTCGCCTGTAACACAATACCAACACTCCGCCCAAACCTGGCGATGTACACGCATACGCTATCAGTCGTCAGTCAAGTGCAACGGCCCAGACACGGCTTCCGACAGGCCTATCCGGCAGCATAGGACAACGAAGTCGTAAATAAACGTAAATAACGAATAACGACGAGAACCGACGAGAGACGACGAGTATAGGTAGGTATTCGACAGACGTAGATAAGTTTTTGATGATACGTTATAGTAAGAGTTGAGGGAGGTATTGGGTGTGGCCTCGAATTTCATCAAAAGTCATCAAAAATCATCGTAAATCATCGTAAAAAAAGAGGGAATCAATCGTGCTAGGTCATATTGTTTCGTAATGCCGCGATGGGAAACCGCGCAGGTTCGAATCCTGCAGCTCTCACCAAATGTAAGGTGTAATTGATGTTGATTGAGTAAAGTTCATAATTACTGGGCAAAGCCCAGTAATTTTCAGTATAGCTAGTAATTACGTAATACCACCACAGTGTGTTGCTGTCTAAAATATATTCTTGTAAATTTGGCGGTGTAAAGGTGTAATGGTTGCCTTTGGCAGAATTAAAAATCAAGAGGGAAAGTGCGAAGAAAGGTATAAGAAAAAGCGCAAGGGAAAGTACAAGGCCAGTTACTGTAGGTATACTTTACCTAGGAGGTAGGTACGTGCAAATAATATGCCTACGTACTTAAGAGGCTGTTTGGGACCATAAGCGGTGCTTTGCTTATGGCTTGTGTTAACCCTGACACATAAGTTGGCTGAAATATATCTCGATTATAGGGCAATCTCCATTATAATTTAAACGAATTAACATTAACATAAGCCTTTTTTTGTTTGTGGTTTTATGTTTATAAATTTAATTTATTAACTTATATATTAAAGTTATTTTTAATTTTATTATCGTTATATATTTAAATTTATTAAATGCGTTATAACGTATTTATTAAATACGTTATATTTATAATATATATATTTATTAAAAATATTATTTTTAAAGTTTACCCATTAAATGTTTTATAATTATAAAGCATTTAATGGATAAAACTTTATAAACGAGTTAATAAACGTTTTTAAAAATGTTTTTAAATTTTAAAAAATTATTAACGAATTTTTTAAAGTTTATTAAATGTATAAAAAAATATTATAAAACTTTTTAATAATTAAATTTTAATAAAAATAAGTTAATTAATATTTTACAAACACATTATTAATATTTATGTTTATTTTTTATAAGTTTTTTTATGTTTATGTTTTTAAACATTTTTTAAAGTAATTACCATCGATAATAACCGTAACCCGTATTTATAAAATTATATTTAACATATAAAGTTTTACTTTTTTAACAGTAATTACAATTAATAAAGTTGCATTATTATGTAAGGTTTTATTTTTTTATTTTTTTAATATGTGTATTTAAAATACTTTTAATAATTATAATTTATAAAGTTATATTTATTATTTATATAAAGTTTTACATTTTTATTTTATTTGTAATAATTATAACTTATAAAAATACATTTAATAAAATTATAAAATTTTATTTTTTTATTTTTTTAATATTTTACCGTTTTAAAAAAAGTTTATTAAACGGTATATATTTAATTTAATATTTTAAACCATATATATACCGTTTAATATAATAAAAATTTAAATTTATTTACGTATTTTTAATTATACCATTTATTTAATTAAATAATATATATACGGTTTTTTTATTATACGTATTAATTTTTTAAAACGTATATAAATTTAAATTATATTTATACCGTTTAATTTAATAAACGGTATAAATACCGTTTAATTAAAATAAACCGTTTAAAAATTAAACCGTTTAAAAATTTAAACCGTATATATATATATAACGTAATATATATATATATAATAAATGTAATTAATTAAATTTAATTAAATAAATTAAATTAAATAAATTAAATTAAATAAACTAAATTAAATAAATTTAATTGATTTAATATGTGGCTTTATATGTGGTTTTATATGTGGTTTTGTTTAATATGTAGTATGTATGGTAAATGGGTAATATATATACATTTACTTTATTACATACATATTTATCTTAATGAACTTAAACCAATGACGCGAACTTCGTTATACCCCTCCCGCCACACCTTTTTTTAACCAATCACATCTTTAACCTACCCCCCCCCACGAATTTCGCATCTTTGGTTTAAGGCAATTTAAGCGATTTTTACCACAACAATCATTTAACATTAAAAACAATAATAACATTAACGCGTTTAAAATAAATCTTAATTAATTTAAAACATTTACTAACTTTATTATTAATAAATACATGCGTTTGCCCGACTTTTTAAGCGTTTAAATACACGCATTTTAAACGTTTCGAGCGTTCCGGGGTAATTAACCGCAATACCGGTCGCAACACCGGTCGTAACATTTTTTTTAGAAATATATTACGTTAAAGCTTATAACATTATAACGCAATACCGTATGGGCATGCAAAATAGCTAGAAGACTTAAACAATTAAATTAAAAACTTTAAGTTATAAAAATAAAAGGTATTTCAAACGTGGTTATAAATGCAAGCGCGTTAATGTAAATATTGG